AACAAAAAGATTGGCAGCAGTTGTTAGCCCAGGTGCCAATCCTTAAAAAAAAAAAAAGGAAGATTGGTGACAGTTGTTAGCCTAGGTGCCAATCTTAAAAAAAAAAAAATTTATCTGACTATTGTTGGTGATGATTTCAGTTCTTCATTATTAGGAATAAAATGAATCTTAATCAGGAGTGGTTAAATTATGAAAGCATGATATAAGGAATGTAATATACAGCTGTTAAAAAGAATGAAATAAGTCAACAGGGACTAACATTGAATGATGTTTAAGCAATGTTGTTAAGTAAAAAATTAAGTTGCAGATCTATAGTTTGATATCCTGTTTGAACAAAAGAGGAAAGTGTGCACTGTGAGTGGCTACCTCTGGAGCCTGAGGTAGGTGAGTGAGAACAGGGGGCTTCTGCTTTTTATTTTATTTACTATGTAATATTTGAAATTTTTGCAAAGAGCAGAAATGACTTTTTTTTTAACAACAGATTAAGAAAAAGACTGAGAACAAACTAATTTTGGATGACCATAACAGTCATGGTCAGGTAGTTCTATAAAGATAATCTGGTGAAAATGATTCGCTTAGGAGCATCCTTTAAGATTCTGTCCCCACTGCTAGGTGGAAGCTCAGTCTGGTTGTGATGGAGCGCATCCCACCTCCGGGCAGAATACAAAAGGAGGGAGTGGCTCCAATGGTGGATGGGAGCCTGGGAAGGCCGTCAGTGATCCGTGGATTGGCCACACTCAAGTGTGGTGCTGGCAGAAAGGGAGGCATTTTTATAGCCAATGGAGGTGTTTACCCGGTTGAAGAAGCCAGGGCAGTGAGGAACACCTGGCCCAGAGAGCACAGGCGGGGTATAGAAATTTTACCTCCTGTAAATAGGGGTTTATTTCAACATTCTTAGAGGAAAAACTAAATTTCAAGGAGGCAGAACATGAGTGGGCTGTGAGGAGACCTTGCTGGTCCCTCAGGTACCAGGTGCATCTTGGGGATCAGCACCAAGTCTGAGAGGGCAGGCTCCTGAGGCAGGCTGGCAGAAAGCCGGGTACAGCAGAGCTTCGAGATTTGTCTTCTTGTCCTAGTGCTGATATCATCTGGGCCTGTTTCTGGTGGGATGTCCCACCTCATGCTAAAAAGGGTTTAAAGCGCGGCTCGCTTGAGCACGTCGGCGAAAATGCTTGGAAAAGGCCCAAAGCATTGTGGGTTGTAAAGTGGTCTATACAAAAATATCCACTTCACTTGCCTGCTTGTGCTCATTTGCCCAGAAGTGCTCTTTTCAGCTTCTCTGACCTTTGGGCATCTTTCTCCCTCCCTTCTTGTTTCAGTTTCCTGCTTGTCCACCAATTACCTTGTTTAGAGTCACACCACACAGGTGGTTTGCCTGGCTGCTGACGGGAGAGAACTGGTCAGCAGCTTTAATAGTACAGATGTTCTTTCTTTTTTTCTTAGGGAAACAGCCTCTGATAGGGCTCTATCACTGTGGCCAAGACTTCTTGCTATAACTCCAGAAACCTTTGCCAGTGGAGGGCACCTGCCAATCTTGGCTTTCTGTGCACTCATTCTGCACCAGACCTCAGAGAAGATGGCGGGCTCGCCAATTCCTGGGAAAAGCAGTCACTGTTCCTCCCCAGCTCAGGTTTTCCACGTGAAAGCTCACAGACTGTTTGAGCCACAGGCCACTAAACCGATACCTCTCTATTTTGGAAACTTTCCTCGGAACTTATTAGCAACATGAGAAGGCCACCAGATAACAAGCTCAAGTACTGAAACGCCTCTGATAAGGCAATAACCTGAAGTGCCTGGAGCCCAGGAGGGAATCATGTCTGGGCTTCGTCTCCCCAGAATGCTTTGTAAGGGTAAAGGAGCAATGGAGCGAAGAAGTTCAACAACAAAAAAGGAAGATCCTAAGTGGCTTTTGTTAATGAAAAGTGATTTGGATAAACATGCAGTGAGAGCTAAAGGCCTTCTTCCCATGGCCTCTCCAACATGTTCTTTTTCTGGTACATTCTTGTCTCATCCAACTCCTACTCATCCGTCAAATATCAGCTTCCATGCCACTTTCCCAGGGAAGCCTTGCCCTGTTCCCTTACTGTCGTATGTCCCCTTATTCAGTCTCATGGCTACCATTTTATTTTGCAGCATTCACCACAATTGGAATCAAATAATTTGTGTAATTCGCATTTGCCTTGTTCAACGGTGTATTCTCACCACCCAGCACAATGTCTGGGTGCACATAAATATTGTTGGATCAATGCACAGATGCTAGCACTGAAAATTCACAAACATATATAACAGGGTTGAACACACAACTCTTTCTGACAGCTTTAGTTAGAGTCACAAGACAATAGATGCTGTCTACCCCTACGATGTAATGCAAGATGCCAGACCACACACGCAGGACTTGCAGAGGAGTGTTTCAAGAGAGTTGAGAGTGTGTTTCCCCTTACCACAGGCGAATGGGAGGGGCTTCATGAAGACCACTGAGATGTCGGTGAGGATGTGAAGAAAACGGAAACGGGTGCACTGTTGGTGGAAATGTAAACTGGTGCAGCTACCATGGGAAACAGTATGGGAGTTCCTTAAAAAATCATAAATAGAACTACCATATGACCCAGCAAGGCCACTTCTGAATACTGCACTCCCATGTTCACTGCAAAACTATTCACAATAGCCAAAATATGGAAACAACCTAGATGTCCACTGATGGATGAATGGCTCGAGAAAATGTGGTATATAGATACACAACGGGCTATTATTCAGCCTAAAAAAGAAATCCTGCCATTTGCAACATGAATAGACCCGGAGGATATTATGCTAAATGAAATAAGCCAGGGAACGACAAATACTGTATTTTCTCACTTGTGTGGAATCTAAAATAGACTCATAGAAGCAGGGTAGAATGGTGAGCCCCAGGGGCTGGGGAAGGGGACATGGGGAGATGATGATCAAAGGGTACAATGTAGTTATGCAGGATGAGTAAGTTCTGGAGATGCATAATACAGCATGGTGCCTATAGCTAACAATATGGTATTGCATACTTAAAATTTGCTAATAGGGTAGATCTTAAGTATTCTTATCACACATGCACACAAATAATAAAGAGGCAAGAGGAAAACCTTGGGAGGTGATGGATATATTTGTGGCCTTGATGGTGGTGATGGTTTCATGGATATATACTTATCAACAAATTTATTAAATTGTATACATTAAATATGTACAGCTTTTTACATGTCAATCATACCTGAATAAAATGTTTTTTTTTTTTAAAGAAAAGAAAACCTGATTTGTGACTCCTCAAGCTTTGGGGACACAGAGGGTTGGTATCTGATTCATGCCTGAGGAAAAAAAAACCCCTACAACAGAGTTGAGGATGCATTTAGGAAGTCACTACACTCTCACAGGTAGCAGGCCCAAAGTGCTCATTTCTGTTAATGGCTGGGGTTGGAGGGCGGATGAGAGACCAGATATAACACCTCTAGATGGCATGTTGGCATAGTCCTTTAGAAAGGGGCCTTAAGCTACTAGCTTCCTGCCTGAAGAGGTGGGGGGTGTGCTATTGGAGGGCTGGCCAAAGGAGAGGCCTGCAACATCCCGAGAGGCCAGAGCAGCTCAGCAGGGCACTGTCCAAGGCGCCCAGCACGGGCTCTGACAATGCCCAGAGGAAGCCAAGGCCAGATTTCAGAGGTGCTGGGAAATAAGACCTCTCCTGCCCCTTATTTCTCCTCCCTACCTTCTGCTCCTTCGACCCTGGGGGATGCTGAGGGGTGGGAGGAGGAGGGAGAATGGCAAGAAGCACTTGGCTTCTAGCCTAAAGCAGGCCTAAGCTGAAAGAGGGGAGAAGTTTTAATTTTAAATGTATTTCAGAGTTTTGGCTATTATACGAGACTAGACTTACTAGTTGCTGAAATGAGACCTGTGCTAAAAGTGACCTCAGGACTTATCATCTAGGAGTAGCTGTCCTGGAGGAATTATAAGACGTGCCAAAGACATCATCGCTGAGGGCAGCCACTACAGTGGGTTTGCAGGGGCACACACAAGAACAAATAGCGGGCCCTGGCTTTATGATTGCCCCACCCACTCCCTGTGGTTGAATGCAACAATCTCTATTTAATCCTCACATAACCATGGTATGTAGGTATCATCCTAATTTACCAGAGATGATGAAAGGAAGATCCAGGGGTTTAGGCAAATAGCCCCGGGTCAGAGGTTGGTAAATCTCAGGAGGACTCAGAGCCAAGTGTAGGACTCCGTGTTCCATTCTTTGGTCTCTACATCACAAAGCATTTTCAACTTTACTTCTCAAACTTCTTATGTCTTGCTTGCAGGTTCCTGGTTCTGACCTAGTCATCTCACTACCTATAAGCCAAGTCATCTTTAATCAAAGAGACAGGAAAAATATAAGATGTGCACCTTCACAGGAGGAGCCATCATAGTTCATTCAGGTGAGAATAGTGAGTTAAAAGAAGGGAGGAGCAGGTGGGCTGGTGATAATTGGCTACCACAGCAATAAAGACTTGTTAACAGGGGCAGAGAGAGGGGAAGGGAGCGTGAGGGTAGATAGGAGGCAGCTTTGCCAACACTCCCCAGTGCCTCCTTACAGCTGTTCTCAGCTGCAGAGTTCTGTAGCTCAGGTGGCCATGAGACCCCTGGAGACCCTCTTGGCACTCCTTTGGCAAGGCTGACTTAAATAAACTCTATCCTTGAGAGAAGGAAAAGCTTACAGGTGGCAAGAGAGAGTTATTTTCATAGCAGACTTTTCCCCAAAACATCTTACCTGAAATGAACCGTGACAACCCCCCCTAGTAACTAGGTGGCAAGAAGCACTTAAGTTTACAGACAACAAGGCTTTTTAAAAACTCTCCACTATGAAGACAACTGGAAAAGAGAATTAATCGAATATGAAAAGCTAAGCTCAAGTTTGGAACAAATGCATCAGCACTATACCTAAGTTACTGGTAGCCATGATGTTAGGAAGTTAATGTGGTACCTGAAAAGATTCACACAGAAAATTTATTTCATAGAGCAACTGGGAACAGAGACTTTAAAATGTTCTGGGTTGTGTCTATCTCCCATAGGAGCTCCATCACTATTACGCAAAAATCTAAATTAACCCAAAAGGGTTTTCAGTTCTTGCTGGCTGCCTGTTTGTCTGGTATATTGCCACAAAAGAAATAAAAGATGGAAAGAAATAATTAGAAAATAAACAACAAAATTACATATAGAAAACTTACTAGGGCCATGCACCACTCTACATATACGTTATCACAACAACCCTCCGAGGTAGGTACTGTCCCATGCAAGGTGGGAAACTGAGGCTATAGGATTTTATAAACTTGCCCACTGCTGTAACTTTTGAGGGCAGGATAGGACTCCAAGCCAGGCTGTCTGGCTTGACTCTGTGCTCTAAACCACTTGTGTTTGGCACATCTTGTTTGGCATTTGGCCACTCTCTGTCTTTGTACCCTCTTCCAGCAGTGGCTGGTAGGATGTTCTCAGCCCCCCCCCCCCCCCCCCCCCGGAAGAGTGTGTAAGCTCTTGGGGTCTCAATCCTGCTCTGCTGTGGGCTAGCATTTAAACATCTTCATTTCATCATCTGTGAAATGAAGGCATTTGTTCTGGATGCTGTCGATGGGCTCTGCTAGCTCAATCATTACAAGAATCACAAAGTCCTTTGATTATTGTCAAAATGTCTATGGTTTGGAAGGTTACAGAGGTGCTGGGCAGAAAATAAATGTCAATAAAAGCACATGTCGAATTTAAAGAAAGGAACATGGAGTCCCATAGAGATGCTTTAATGAAGATGCAAAACTGATATACAACACTGTCTTTAGACTGCTGTCCTCTACCATGTCCTTGAGAAGTGAGAAAAAAGCTACTGAAAAAATACCTTAGGAAATGAAATCAGAAACTGTCAGTTATAATAAAAAAGTAACTTTTTAAACCATTTCATTTTATATTCCAAACCATTACAGACCAATATAGATGCTCATATCCCAGAGGTGACTAGAGGGGTGAATGCCAATGTTGCAAAGAGATGTCCCCTTTGAAGGTGTCTAGTTAGTTAATCATGGCAAAGGGATTAGTCAGTAAAGTCAAGTCAGTCTGCCATAGGTAACTAATTCCTAAATCATGACCTTGGGAAGATGAAGTGGCAAAGCACACAAACCTGAATGATACAGTGGACTTCTGAGTAATCCAAATCCTCTGGCCACATGAATTTTACACACGTATGAATGGTCTGCTTCATTCAACCTTGCAATAAATTATTTTTGAGTACCTTCTATATGCCAGGCACTAGGCTAGGAGCTGGGGACACCCTAGTGAACAAGACAGTCTCTCATGGAACTTATTTAACAATACAATTAGCATTTGGTTATAATTGTGATAAATGCCACCAAGGAGACAAGAAAGGCCTTGAGATAGGAGGAGCAACAGGAGGAGACTGGCAAGGTAGATCATGTTGCCCATCTACACCACAGTGGAATTTTGTAAGCCCGCTGGAATCCATGAAGTAGAGAAAGGCAGTTGGCCATTCCTTTAGAAGCCGCACCTTTAGAACTTAAATATGGTGGCTAGCTTTGTGGGCTCATCTTTAGGAAGCAGTCTCCCACATCTCATAGACCCAGATGGGGAATTCTTATCATCCATCTACAAATGCCCTCACAGTACCAAGTATCTAATCACAGTAAGACAAACCAGCCTGGTTGGCCAGTTGAATTAAGCAAGCAGGAGTTGAAAATGACACATCACCATCACACACAGCAGAATCATCTGACCCCAACTTGAGAATTAAGTATCATAAAAATATCAGAGCCACCTACTGCCACTGCCAGCCTCCGGTCTCGTCTCGAAAGGTAAAACCAGTGGAGCAGGTACATGTGGGTCCAGCATTCAGTAAAACAAACCCCAAACACCCCACCTTGAAACCTCATGCCTCTCTCTGCCTTTGGCCCCTTTGCAATCAGTCAAAATGGACTCCTTCTCACCTGGAAAATAATGATCCAATTCTCGCTACTGCCTTCAGCAGCTAATCCGTTAATTTAGACACCTGTTTTTCATGAACTACAAAGAGCTTTATAAACAGTAATTAAACCTCTTCCAAACCCCAGTAAGAAGGAATATTTCCAATTTACAGCTGAGGAAAGGAGTTAAGGTAAAAGACAAGAACAATGTCAAATGTCTGGGGGTGGCAGGGGAGGGCTACTGACACAATTATAACATTAGGAACCTCAGTCATCCTTGAGGCTCCTCGTAAACCTCCCCAGAATCATTGTTGGCACTGATCATTCTAGGTTTTAGTACCAATGCTTAATTGAGGCTTTCTTCCTTTCCTCCTCCATTGTTCCTACAGAAAACTTGTAGAAACTGGAGGTTAAGGATCCAGCTAAGAGAATGTCCTGATGTCTAATTCAGATGGATACCCTCTACAGCTGGAGTCTGTTCCTGAGGCAGCCTTTTAATATGAAGACAGCAAGATTCTAAGAGCGCACCCCTGCCTCCTATCTCCACCTGCACTGCCCCAATCTCCTTCAAACTGCACACATAGCTTTTCTCAAAAAGTACTTTGGCCTCCGAGTTTATCATTTCTGACAAAATAAACTCGCTGAGAATAATCCACTAGACATCACCCTGACCCCCAGATTCTAGGCTCCTTTGAATCAAAAGCATTTGTCAGCCTGTGTGGTATTACTGGAATTTGTGAAGATTACACTAACCCTAAATAGGTCCCAACAAATGAGGGGTGGTATGGAGAAGTGGTTAGGAACAGACACTGGGGCCAGGCTTCTGAGGCTCCACCGTTCACTAGCTGTGTGATGGGCAAGCTCCTTAATTTCTCTAAGCCTCAGTTTACTCACCTATAAAATGGGGATAACAGGTTTGTGGTGAGGAGAAACAGGACAAGGCATGCAAAAAGGGTGTAACCCAGAGGAAACCCTCAATAGATGGTAATTGTGATTATTATCCCCCTAGTAGATGTCACCTCTAGAGGACACGTCCTTATAACACAGGCAGGTCCCGGAGCAAGTACGCTGCTCTCGCTTTCTAGAGTCACCAGCGATAACCTCTCTGTCCCAGGAGGATGTCTTACATGAGGGCACCAGAGAGCACTTTCTTGCAGGGTTTTTCTCTTTTTTTTTAAAGACAAAGTTAAGAGCCTTGAAATGAGACAAGTAAAAACAAGTACCAGAATTGCAAAGTTAACATTTTTATTGAACTGAAATTGTTGTCGAACAACAGGGGCCACCACAGCTGCTGAGCTCGTAACAACTGAGAACTCCCGGTGACATTTTACCTTTGAGAACCCTGACATGTTTGGGGTGGAACAACTGAGAAACAGCGTAAATATAGATATATTTTTAACACTTCAAAATATTTTGAAATGAGCCTCACAGCCTTGCTCAGTTTTCAGGTTACAAAGTACATTGATAACATCTTCTGTTGCCTTCGTTTAGTAGTGTCAGTTAATATCCTTTCCCAAAAAGTTCCTCTCCAAGTGCCGGCTATAGTTTTTCCCCCGTCCAGTACACGTAAGAAAAGGATTTAGTTAACACTTAGGCAAGTAATAAACTGTAAGAACTTCAAAAGTAGTAAAGGCATATACCAAGCATATGGGCTCAACACTCACACTGCCAGAAAGACAATGACCTGGCTAAAGAGTTTCAGCCAAGTTCCAGAAGCAAAGACTGTGCTAATGGAAGGGGTAAGGCAACCAAGCAGTGTCGGAACTGATGGACCAGTGGTGTCTAAACCTCATTTCAACATCTTGCTTCCAACATGCAAGTATGTGTTTGGTTTGCATAATAAGGTGAAATACTTTAAGGGAAAAGAAAATTCCTATAAAGGTTAAAAGATCAATCAGAGATGAAGGAAAATTAATACTGAATTTTTACAGTCAATGCATAGAGCAATGATATAAACTGACTACACCAATTACTTTTTGGAGAGCAAGTACTGAACATCTATGACTACTCAGAGCTGAAGTTAACCCCTCTGAATTATTCCAAGGGAAATAAATAACCAACGAGATAGGAAATGAAATCCCCACGTAAAAAACAAAACCACATCTAGTTAATGTTCTTTTTGGTTTGTATTAAATCAGCTGTTCGTGCAATCTGGAGTTAACTTATGGGTGTTGGTAAAAATCTTCAAGAATGCTTCAAATTATTTTAGATGAAATGTGATGGAAAAATAACACAACTCATTCTCTCATCCTGACAATGCTGTTTTATACTTTTACTGTTTCTCTATCTCAAAAAAAAAAAAAACCTAAATAAATTCTTCCACCACAGTAACTGATACTAAGTGGCCACCCATTCCTGCAGCAATTATTTGAGAGAATCCAAAAATCTTACAGTAGGAGATGAAGAATGATTATAAATATTTTAATAGGCTCATGCCCAGCTTCAAAAGGGATGCAGCTGCAGGTAATAGCAGATTCAGAGATTTATGACTCCCAAATTTGTGACTGATAGACATTTTGCAAGATCTGCCCACTGTACACAACAAACATCTAAATTAAGGCTTTTATAGGTAAGTGGTCAAGTGTATGGGTGTGCAATGCTGGATTTTCATAAAGCATCTCCAGCCTCCATTTTACCCTATTTGTAAACCAGAAGATGTGCTGATGTAGGTGGGTAGGAGCTCCAAGGACTGACAATTAACCAACTGAAAGGCTTGTTTGTAAACAAGTTCTGAAATAAGAGTTGGCAGTGAAACAATTGAGAGGGTGCCTCACATCATGTAGAGGGGAAAAATGATTTGCGCCTGCTGATAGGGACAGGTTTTTAAAAAAGCTGGTAGTTGAACTTCAGTTCAAGACTTGGAGATTTAGAAACCTAAAGATTTAGTGCTACATCCAAGCCAATGGTTCTCCCATTTTAGCTTGCAAAAGTCACCTGGAGGATACGTATGAAAATGCAGATACATGGGCCCTATACCCAGCGATTCTAATTCGGGCGATGGAAGTGGTCCAAGCACCTTGCTTTTGAGAAACACCGCTCCTAGCAAATAGCAGCACACAATCTTTGATTAAAAGGCCAAGATGTCCAAGAAATGACACCAATGAGGTCATTACCTACAGACAAATCCCTCAGGAGACTCCACCATAAAATGAGGATCAAATTTATCCCCAATTAGGTTTCCTTTCCTATGTTTTTTCAACTGAAAGTTTGAAATCAATGAACATTTAAAAATGATTGTACCAATTCTGAGGTAAAAGGAAGAGCACCAGGGATCTCAATGCTAAAAGAAATCGAATTCCCTAGGAGGTCCATACTACACAGAAATCAAATTTCCGCAGTAATGTTACAGAGTTATAGCGCACAGGGTCTTGTTGCATTCTTTGTATAGTTTGTACACTTTTACTTTATTATCTACTTTCCAGTTAATGTTTTAGAAGAACTCCAAAGAGAAAAGTTCATCTACATGCTCTCTCAGGTTTTCTAGACACCAACATTTTCTGGTTTACAACGATAAACAACAAAGTTATTTATTTATTTTTTTTGGATGCTGGAGACAAACATCTTTATTAAAGATACTACCAAAATTTTGGCAAACATTTCAAAACAGATTTGTAAACATAATGCTTCCCTTTTCAACTGGCAGCACTTTGAAACGACAATACGATAAGACAACACAACTTGAATCAACATTAGTTCAAAATCCTTATATTTTGACCACATAACTTATGTTCCCACATGATAAAACAAGTGATAGTTTAAACCAACGTCAACAGATAAACTCCATGAAATGAAAGTTTGTGCTGTTTGATGAATCACAGTATGTTATGGTTAAATATATCTGCTCTTTTTTATATTCCTGGCATCCAGGATGAAAAAAAAAATCTTTAAATATACATTTCATGTAGGTAATAGCTTCTTTGCATATCTCTCTTCAAAAAATACTTTATAGCAGAATATAAATAGGTTTACCTACACATTTAATTTTATAATTTTGTCCCAAAACTATAGATCTGTTTCATTTTCAAAACATATCGATTTCGCCCAACATTAATAAAGCTGACAAACTGTTGAAATGGAAATGCTTTTGTCTTCCACAATAGAAGTAGCAATTTGACAGAAAAAACAAACAAACAAAAAACCTACAGTAACACTCGTCAGTTGTTGAACCTGAGCGTTTGGCCTACGGAGAGTAGCAGCTTTTTTTCCTTCATGCACGCTCACATCCACACCACCTCTGCACACAGACAGGTCGAGCACACGCGTTCAGACGCTGGTAGGCCACAGTGTGCTTCCCACTGCTGTACTCAATTGGGAAGCAGTGTAGCTAATGATTAACCACACTATGTACACAACTAGCAAACACCTTAAGGCAACCATTGCAATGGGGGGTTAACTTGCAGGGCGGATTTACTGTTCTAGATCAAGTCAGCCTGTATATACATACACGTATGTATATCTACACACATACACGGGCTCATACACCTTTCTATTTCTTAACCCTCCAAAACAATGTTTTAAATTTTTTTTGTATTTTGTGCAAATTTCTAAAGATTCTACCATTTAAGGCAAAGAGTTTGCATTAAGAAAGGTCAGAAAATAGGCTTATGTTTATCCAAAAGCATTTCACCTTGTACATTACTGTTTTTTTTTTAAACACACATAACTTTGAGGTGTGGACACTGGATCCCCAATATCTAAAAAAATCATTTCTAATGACAAACACAAGTTTTTAAGGAAAAGAAAAATTGATTTGAAGTATAGACACTGGATCCCCAATATCTAAAAAATAGTTATTTCTATTGACAAACACAAGTCTTGAGGGAAAAAAGCAGCTTCAAAAATGCAGGGAAGCAAAGTAAAATGGAAAAAAAGAAAGCAACTCAAGTTTACTAATACTGAAACTTTCAACAGGCAAAGTTTCATCTTTTTAGAATCTTAGAGCAACTCATTTGGGATTTTAAATAAATAAGCTTAAGTTTATTCACATCTTCTGGTCCAAGCAGGGCTCTAGTGCCATGACTCTGCTTGCTGTTGGTCAAATTCACCTATTAGTCTTTTGATGTGAGCCAGCTTGTTATGAAGATACTCGCATCTGTATTTTTCTTCATGGTAATTGGGACTAGACTGTGGATGAAAAAAATAGTGAGGAATTAGGTTGAAGAATTTATAAAACTTCCCAACTACGGGTCAGAAAACCAACAGTGATGATAAGTACCTGCTTGATCTTCTGATATTCTTGTAAGACTTCTTCATGAACATTCTAGAAAATTGAAAATTAGAAATCAGAAGAGAACAACTGTTTTTTTTTTTTTGGCAATATAAACAGCTAATACACACATTCGGCAAGGGTGTGGGAAATATTGACGATGGGAATGTAAATTGGTACAATCTTTAAGGAAGGCAATTTTGCAACTGCTATCAAAATAGAAGATGGAAAACTGACTCAGCACTTACACTTCTCTTTCAGATTTACTTGTGCCCGAGTGAAATGACGCGTGTACAAGGTTACTTGCTACAGCACTGTTTGTAAGGCAAAAGACAGTAAACAAAATCTAAATGGCCATCAAACCACACAAAGGAATACTAAGAAACCATTAGAAAAGGAGGAAGTGCTTTATGAACTTATATAAAAAATCCTCTAAGATGCATTATATAGTGAAAAAAGCAAAGTGATCAGATAAAAACTAGACTATTTGTGGTGAACCCGATGCAATCTATACAGAAACTGACATATAATAATATACACCTGAAATTTATAATAATGTTAAAAGCCAATATGACCTCAATAAAAAAATAATTTAAAAAAGACATTATAATGCAAAACAAAAAGCAAAGTGCAGAATGATTTATATAATTTGATATCATTTCTTTAAAGGGGGAAGGAATAATTATAGTCTAAGAATTTCATTACTTCTAAGATGCACATTTCTTCTCATTTTAATGAAATCAGATAATAAGGTATCATAGTTTAACTTGCTGGAACATAAGACAATGGTGCATCTTATAAATTGATGACTCTCAGATTCACTTAAATATGGTATATCTGTGAATTTGTTTGTGTATATATGTCTTATAAACACCCCCCCCCCCCCCCCCCCCAGATCTCTGAAAGAATACACTGGAAACCAGTACTACTTGATTGTCTCTAGAGAGGGAAACCGGGTGGCTGAGGAAAATGGCTAACCCTTGTGTACCATATAATCTGATGTACTATGGATCTAAGGAGTTTCCAAATGCTTACATTTATTCTGCACAACTCTATAATCACCTCATTTTATGGATGGGGATTTCTGAAGATTTTGAGGCAAGTTAAGTAAGTCGCCCA